ATACATGAGAGTGTTGATTTACTATAGCATTTGATATACATTAGTTAATAGAATAAGTTTTTATTGAATTACAAACAGGAAGAAAATGTTATCAGCTGTGTCCTGTATTCACCTTTTTGTTTCTGTACAATACAAAATCAATACTTTTAGTCGGGAGAAAACATAATCAAAACATACGGCTACGTCAAGACGTGTACGAACAAAAACTACCGGTGTCATTGTCATGAGATTCACACTGAAAAAGGATGCACCAGGGCGACCATATAACGACGTGCAACGTTTTGTTCCAGAAAACGGCAACATGCACCTATCGATATCCATCCTGGTCCGTAAATTTCTAATGGCTACTATTGTAGGTTAGGCCATTATTGCTATTATTTTATTTATTCACCATTTATTAGTACACAATAATTTCCCATTTTATTGCAATCAAGCTTTATTAGATTGTTTAGGCATTTCAGTGATAAGAAAGTAAAATAATTTGGTCGTGTACCACACTCGAAAAAAATGATTAAGTATATATTTCATGCCTATACCCTAAAACGATATATTTTGTCATATGCATGATTTATCGGTTCGAAACATACAGAACAAATGTTCTTCGCCAAACGTCGTACGAGAATATTTTCGGTTGGTCAATATAACAGCGTGTTTATTAATAATTATTTTGATATTTCAATATAAAATGATATTTTTTACCGAAAGGTGGTGTTTAACAAGTAGTTGTATCCAAACATAAATATAAGCCCGATGGCACATACGCAACTGTAACATAATTTACGGTAGCTTTTATACGTACATAAATGCGGTCGGTGCTTTTAAGATTGCGTCGATGGACCAGGAGGAAATCTGATGTCGTGAGCTAAACGGATTTAAAACGTATTACCATTCTTGTGCAGATAATTTATGTCTCATGAAACGCGCGCTACGGTGTCACATTTAAATAATTGCAAATAAAAAATTAAGTTACGGAGATTAAAATATTTATTCGAGGCAAAATATTTAAGTAGACCCAAAATCTTTTGTTTTTCATAATGTCGTTGAATTTGAGTTCATCGAAAGACCAATCGTTAAACTTTGACTTTCAATCATTTTGATTGTAAGAATTGGGTGAATCAAGTGAAGCTAGAGTTAATTAAAAATATACATGGTTTTTACTTTGAGGAAGAAAACAGAAACATGACACAAAAGGTTTTTAGTTCAATCCCGACAGTATTAAAGACCAAAAAAAAAAAATGTCTCACTAAGTGATTCATTGTGTTATTGAAGATGTATAAAAAGAAAAAAATGGAAAATGTAAAAAGTTGTATATGCAGATTGCGGTTTGCTCTTGATGTGATATTTTATCAAATTAATATTCCCTTAGGTATTTTGTTGTTCATTGCGTGGTTGGTAAAAGTATTTGAAATATTATTCTTTTAATTCTTTTCTTTTTTCTCGTATGTAGTTTGACTACGTTATATTTTATTCTTCGTGGTTGCAGTGGATTACTATGTACAATGATATAAAACAAAACCATCGTAAGAAAGAAGTTTGGATTACGGCCAATAAAAATGATGCCAAAATATATATAATACAATAAAATATATTATATACAATTCAAAAAAATATATTTTATAAATACAAACATACACACACATACCCGGGTATAAAATATATTTTATAATCTATTTTTTAATTTTATTGTTGTGTTTATATTAATTATTTGGCCTGAAGAAAAATGAATATTTTTAATTATTTTAAATATTGAGATTTTTTGTTCGATCATCATGAAATGTGATAATTTTTGAAGCTGCTGGTTCTAAAATGGAGTTAAGAACCAATAATATTTCAAATGCTTGAAATCACGAATAAACTGTAATAGCGTAGTACTTTAATGTGAGTATAACATTTATCAAATGTATTTTACAAACTCGTATTGTGTTATCAAATTCTGGATTTTTTATAGGACCAATGCAAATGTTTATAGTGAAGAATATTTTTAAAATTATTTTGTCTATAAATTTATGTTTTTTTAAACTAAGGATACTATAAAATCATCGTTCACTATTCTAATAAAACTTAGTAATGCCACGTTGTTTCTTTTATAACTGCATAGTTGTTAAAAATTATTTTAAATGGAAAAAAATGCTATTTGAAAGCTTTAACGTATATAGTAGGTTTGAAAATTATTCTCTCTTGTGCACGCGATTTACGTTAGATTCGGAATTTAAATAAAATGTAAAATATTCATTTGCTTTGCAATTTTAATACAAATAGAAAAACAATAATATTATAAATAATCGATACAACCAATCGAATAACTAATCTTAGATTTGTTCAATGTATAAATATAATCAATAAGATTCAATGATTTTACTATACTCTGAGTTTGCATAATTAAACTGATTTAATTCATGTCTTGTGATGATATTAGCATATTTACAACTTCCGTATCACGTATAACATTGCATAAAAAAAAACTGGGAAAATTCTGCTTACTGTCCTCAAAAAGATAATATTAATTCAAACTAATTGGTACCAATTTCATAATTTAGTGTCGATTCAATTTTGATTATTTTTACACATTATGAAATGTTAAAATGTATTTCCTCCTTTTTATTTTTTTTTATCATAGTTATTCTAATTTTATGTTTTTTTTTTATTTCGATTGATGGTAATTATTATTATTTCCTAAGTGAAGTAAAAGTATAACTTTTTTCCTAGTTTACCAGAGTTGAACTGTGCCATTCCTTAAGTATATACTGATGTAACTTAAGTATAATTAAAGATTTTAAATTTGCTATGACATTTTTTTCAATAAATATACACACCATTTAATGAATTATAAAGTTGATCGGTTTCGAAAAAAATACTAGGTAATATAAAGCAACACGTTGAAAAAAAAAATAACTTTTCGATTTTCCCATAAAATATTTCCGAAAAACAGATGAAACGAATAAAGTATTCCGAACTCCAATGTAGTAGTTATAAACCATCCGACGTTGTTTGGTGAAATGATTACGCTGTGAATTGTATAAGTCTTTTGTTAAAACATTTTGTTTTATGAAATGTTTTACTCTTTGAAACTAATGGATATATTTACTGCGTGTTGGGCCAATGATGTCCTCTATCGCATTCTTTGTCCGAGATTGAAGTAATGCCATTGAATACCAAAATACAGTATGGCAACTTTCTAAAGGGTTTTGTGAATGAACGTTATCTGAAGTCTTTAAAGTGAAATGCTTTTAAACCAAACATGATGTTAATTATTTTGAAATTTGATAAATGAAACGCTTTTCGTTTCTTTATAAAAATAATTAATTACATTATTACAAAGTTTCAAACACCTGAAAACGTTGTAATTACTACGAGAACATAATATAATTATATTAGTTTCGTTGAGTGGGTATCAATAATGATTATTATTATTTTTCGTTTTTAAATATTCGCAGTTTTGACTTCTACGGTAATTCACAAACGCTGGTCGGCAGATAGATACATAGCAACAAAAATTTATTTTAGCAAGTGATAGTCGTTTGTTACACCCACGTACAATAACTTTTGAAACAAATTAATTTTTTTAAAACTTACTTCAATTTAATTGTTAAACGCCAATTGAAATCATGCAAACGTAATCAACTTATACATTTTATCTTATTGCGTAATAGGTATGATATTGAACGAAATAATTAAGTTATTGAAATCCTACACGGCGTTCAAACTACATGTTCATACATGTATATTTTTGAATTTGTAAAATAATTAAGGAATACATTTTTATTTGGCAACATCATAGGTAATGATATTATGGCTATTCGTAAGTTTAAAACTAAAACTAAAGAAAACCATCGGTTAAAAGAATTTCAATCCGTTGGTGAACGTTAAACGCAGCATTCGACGAAATTGGTGTTTAGAAATGCGTATTCACGTTAAAATGTTTGAGTTGGTTCATATATGTGTAATAAAATAGTGTTGCACTAGTTGATGGAGCGTTTTAGATCCAAAAAAATGTCGATGATTACCAAAGGAACATATATTATTATAGTATTATAATTGTGAAATAACCACCTTAAAATCGTACATATTATAATCACCACTAGTGGGTTTATCATAGCTTATTAAACGCGGAGAATGGTCACCGCAATTTCATTAAATATACGCTGAAAAATTCGACTCAAGATTTGTAACAAAATTTGTTGAAACGCGATGTGTGTCTCACCGATGTCGAGCAGTACTCGAAATTGTTAAAAAGTCGAAATGATCGAGTTTCTACTACTTTCTTTCAAATTCGCAATTTTTCCTCGTTCCTCTGTCTCGACGTAGCGAGAAATCCAAGAAAACGATTTTTCAGAGGATCTTGGTGACAAGGAACTCACAGCGAAACAAAGTGGATTCACAACCCTTTCGGTCCGTGTAAGCCTCCGCGGCCCGGAATTAGTGCTGTATAACCTTACACCGCCGGTGCAATCGGTGATGGTGGCGTTTAAGCGAGTCGAGCACACACTCGCGCGCGTGTGGTAAGGGATCGGGGGCGCAGGATAAAAAGGTCCGTGGGCGCTCTCTGACGGGTCTGATCGGCGGCGGTGGTGGCAACGGCAACTGACACCCCCTTTGCGCGTTCCGACGGCGAGCGGTGGTAGTAGTCCTGCTCATTTTACCGAAGCGAAAACACGCTGTGCAATCTCCGCCGTCTCCGCCGCCGCCGCCGCCGACGACGCCGACGCCGCCGACGACGCCGGTACGCGCACAGTACACGCCGCCTGCCGTCAGTGTTATCACCGAAATACGACGCTGCCACGTGTCATCTGCACGCTGTCGTACCGAATTTTTCCACGCCGACATTTTTTTTTCCGTTTTTTTTATCCGCTCTCCGTTTTCGTTACCCTTGCACGTTAGACCACTCCCATCACCCGGGCCGCTCGTTTTTCCGGCGCGACATTTTCTTACGGTTTTTCTACGTTTTCGTCGGTCTCCGTTCCGTTGTACGGACCCCGCGGCCGCCACAATCACGTAAACAGTATTGCTACTGCCGCGAGACCGCGAGACCACATACAGTAGTCGTTCAGCCACGGACGGCATAACAACGTTGAAAGGGTCGTCGGAACGGTTCACCGGCGTCGTTACCAGTGGCGTCGCGTCTGTTAACGCGACTAACAGGAGGGCTCTGGTGGTCGGCTACCACGACCGCGGTATACAGCACGTGCTCGCTGCCGCCGCGGCCACCGGTTGCGACTTTTGTGACAACGGTACCGACGGCAGCAACAGCAACAGCCGCGCCCCAGCCGAAATAACAGCTGCCGCCGTCGTTGTCGATAACTTGACGGTTCAGCTGAAGCCGCCGCAGCCGTCACCCGTCTCGCAGTGCACTTGTTACGCGTCGTTCCCGCTGCCGCCGCCGCCGCAACCACCGCCGCCGCCACCGCCGGAGCACCATCAGCAGCAGCACCACCACCAGCCGAGGCAAACGGTCGGGCCCGTGCGCGTGCGCAGTAATTGCAGACTGGCCGTCAGGACGCTGTATCCGTACCCGTACCCGACGACCACGCCGCCGCAAACGTTCCAGCCGACCACCGCGGCGGTACGCCAGCACCACCACCACCTATATCAGCAGCACCACCCACAGCATCAACCCCATCACCAGCACCAGCTGGCCGCCGACAGCCTCTGCCACTGTCGCGTGGCCGCCGCGTTGGCCGTCAACCAGCACCAGCAGCAGCACCAACAGCAGCAACAGCTGTCGCACCAACAGATGCTATTCGTGCCATTCTCGATGCCGGCCAACTACGGCAATCACTTGGCGTGCCCAGCACCATCGTCGGCCGGTGCCGGTGGCGGATCGGCTGCCGCGGCCGCAGCCGCAGCCGCAGCCGCCGCGGCCGTGGCCACTCTTTCCAACAGCGGCAACCCGAACGTAGTCAGCCCGTCGGCCGCAGCGGCCATCGTCAACGGCAACGCAGCAGCTGGCCTCAAGGTACGTGTCCCGACCGATTTTCCGTTCGCTTTGTTCCGCTTACCCCCTCCCTCCTCGTCTCTCGGGCGCAACGTTCCGACAATCCTTTTTTCTTTGCCACGTCCTCCTTCATCGTCCTTCTTAGCCTGAACCCGCTCCAGCCACGCACTATTCATCCCCCCGTCAGCGTACGTCCACGTTGTCGTTTTTGTTTTTCCTGTCCGATCCGGTGTGGAACGTTGACCCTTTCTCCAAGGTGTACACTATGTAGCCATATGATTGCAGGCGCGATACCGTTCGAGGGAGTCGATCGCTTTTGCGCAACGATAAAAATCAATTATACGTCTGATCGACGGAAACGCGTCGTTGCTCTTATCTATATTTCGTTTCTCCTTCGGTCGGTACGATCAGGATTTGTCATTGAAGTTTTTTTTTTTTTATTTTTTTTTTAATTTTACTATTGATGTACGAGGTTACACCTGCGCATGGCTGTTGTACGGTACGCGTCTGACGACGTGTACACGTGTACGCAATACAAGACATTATGCAGCTTGTGACCGAAAGCTCACTTTTAAAATATGCCAGAGTACTGAAATCAGGGGACATTAGAGGTCTGGTAATAGGTTCAATGTTGACCGAGCTCGTAATTTGTTCGAAGACACAACCGATATTTGAGGAGTGTTCGTCATCATTCGCCACGATAAGAAACAAGCCGAGTGCACGAAAATACGGTTACAATAGATACAATTTATATATAACAATAGATAATAATTTTTACCGATTCGCTCGCACTAGTTATTGCATTTTTCGAAGTACTACATAAACAATACTACCAACTCAGGTATTCCGCAGAAAACGCATAGTCTGAATATTGCGCCCGTAAAAAGTAATTAAAATTAAGCCTGCTCATCCACTCCCCATTTCTGTTGGGTCTCCCGTCCCGTTATGTCAAATGTAGTCTGCGATCGTTTGCAAGCAGTTATTTTCATCGAACGGTCTCTCCCCACCATCTTTCGTACGTGCGTCGTCGGTAGTGAACACTGCGACGCAAACAACGACTAAGACTTCTACGAATGAGACTTCGATATTTTGTCGATACGCAGTACACTATCACGTGAAATCGACCCTTCTCCAAATTTCATTCAACGTAATGGTTTCAATTAATTATTTCATTAATTATTTTTTAGCCATTATAAATAACGGTACCAATAGGATTTAGTTTTAATACATTTATATTTTCTGGAAACAGGGGTGTTCAAACGGATTTCGGGTGGTTTTCATTCATTTTTGTTTTTCATTCACACTGCAGCCTTCGGCGAACCAAATAATTTCTTCTAATGCGTTTTCACTTCAAATGCTTTTAATTTATATTTACCATTGTACGGTATTATTATAACGAGCGGCTACATGATTCCATATGAATCGCTAAATACAGAAAGGAAACATGTCCAAGTTTTAAAAATTTTTATGAAACACAAAAAACTTAATGTATCTGAAAATAAATAAATTACAAATTGTACGTCATAGAATAATATAATTTAAAACATGGTATCATTTTTCGGGGTATCTTGATGATTTTAAAAAATTGTATAGTCGATCCACTCTCTTCGGTTGTTTTTTATCAATACAAAGTCACGATCACATAACAAAAACAAGTGTCCTCTTTGTGGAAAAAACTTTTTTTAATTTTTTAATTTCAACTAGAATCATAATCATTCTGAGTAATGCGTGGTTTTTGTTTTGTTCCGCACAATTGTCACGAAACGCATGCAAATTCATCAACATCATCACCAACAAAACTATTAATACAGTGCACCAAAAAATAGCATACATTATTTGGCGTTATTTTTACTATTGTGCCATGTTAAACATAACAAAATAAATTATTCATTTTTAAATTATGAATAACAAAAGTTTTGGCAGATAATTGACGATAATAATATACTTCTTGCACCGTTATTTTAGGTAAGTCATCTACAACAGCCATAAAATCAAAGCAAAAACCTAACACTTTTTTATTTTTTATTTTGTTGAGAAATCTTTATTGTTCTTTTAATATTATTATAACATTTTTTGCTTCTATTTTATGAACTAATAATTTCGTAGCACCTACTTTTTTTGCAACGTAACAATATATCTTTACCCATTAATTTTGTATTTAATTATTCCCATTTTAAACAAGCATCTTTGACTGAAGCCCCAACACTTAATGAAAAATTATTCATACAATTCTCCCAATAATATTGATATTTTATTTTCCCTTCTAGTTCTGGATAGATATTGCCTATAAACATTGTATGCATGGTTTTAAAATTTAATTTAGGGTCTAAATATTTCTTCAACCGTATTGGGTAATGAGTATCTTTAATTGAAAAACTTAGTATATATTCATGTATTTTTTGACAATACTCATATGGCATAATATTAGCATAAAACTAATATTTTTGCCAGCTGGGGTAATATTATATCCTAACAAATGAACCAGCCATCTAATTCTTACATATTTGAATACGCTGTCCATCTACTATTAAAAATACTGGACACTTAGATTTCGGTTTTTCTTTTCCTTCTTCTGTTTCTATTCGTTTTCGTTTTCTTGTAATTTATTTCTATTGTTCGTTCAAGATGAAGGTCTTGTTCATTTTTAGAATGCAGCTCATAAAATATTTTCATTATATCTTCAAATTTTTCTTGTTGAATGTCTTTTAGACATATTTTAAGTAGTTTTAAATATAAAAAAAAAATGTAAAAATATAAAATGTACTAGTTATTAATAGCGAACAAAACCAACTAAGTATGATATAATTACCATTTCTTAAGGATTACTGAAGGATCATTCTTTGCAGCTACTATTTTTCCAATCGAATTTGTATGTTCTTTCCCTTCAATTTTTACTTGCTTAATAATATTTCTTTTATATTTATCATTGTTAGAAATACCTTTTTTTTTTCTTTTGAGAGGAGTAATACACTCGTTATCTAAACTCATATTTTATAGTTGTACGCGTTATGAACGTTTATACACGTACAAAATTGTGCAAAATCAAATTTATAAATAGAAAAATATTTCTTGTCGTACAATAAAGTGATTTCAAATAGTTTAGTTCTGATAATACGATTACTAAAGTATAATTTTGATGCAAAAAAAGTCTCATAATATCCAGGACAAGTACGTTTTCTACAACTTACGAAAATTATTTTAACGAAGATCTATTTTATAAAAACTATGTGCACAAAACCATGTATTTATCAATATTCAATTTGATTATGTTATAAAGAGATTTTTGTAAAATATTGGATATGTGCCCATTCTGCGTTCATCGATTCGTATAACATCATAATAACTCGTTTAATAAACGTGAACCATCATTTCACCATTATATATCTGCTATGTTTTCCGAGTTATTTTTCACAGCTAATGAGGTGCATCGCGTATATTATCGTACACATTTGGTGTGACGCATTTCGAGACACTGATTGCTCGCGACAGCGTACATAATAAACGACAGCCGAGTTTCCGAAACCGGCCAGCTCGCATAATTATTATTACGATATCTTTTCGAAAATTAAATCGGAGTGGAAAATCATACATTCACTCAATGCAAAGAAAACAACGAATATTAATTTGTTCATCCAAATAGCATGTTCGTGGTTTCTGGTTTGACCATACGTCAAATTAAATACAACTATATGGAGGGGTTGATAGTTTGGAACAACAACGGTGCGTGGTACCCCGCGTTATTAGTACGACGTTCTCTTACGGTTGTCGGAATATTACTTTTTCCTCCCTTTTTTTATTCCACCTCCGCCAAGTTCTTTACGTACACGTACATAAATTATTGAAATCAAAGCGAACTACTGTTTGAACTAACATTTTCAATGTTTGTACAACTATATTATACACCGAGGTTAAGGAAAACGTGAAGGCCACAGCGGATTTATTCATATAGTCGATGTTTTCGTGGAGGGTTTTTCCAGAAAACTGCAGCCACGGCGGCGGCCATCACTATCGTCCGAGGATTATAAAAGCCGAAAGAAGCGAAAAAATAAATAAAATAAAAAACACACCCATACCTTTTCTTCACAGCCCGAGTTTTAAAGAAACCGACTTCCAGGGGATTTATTATAAATCCACTAGATTTTTTTTTCGGAAACCGTTCGTGTTGTTACAACAAAGCCACTGCGCGCACACACCACGCACTACCCGGAAACTTCTTTGGAGATTAGTGTGTACGGGTAAACGTGGTGGTACACGCATTGTGAAAAAAGTGCGATACACGTTTTTAATTAAATGATCAGTTCTAGTCTCCTGCTGGAGGTTTTGTTTTATCCCAAAACGAGTCGAATATAATATTATGTGACCACATATGGTTATTCAAAAGCTTATCGCAGTCAAACGAAGCTGAACGGTCGTGTACGTTCGCGCCGACGAAAAGTTGTTTTCGGTATAATTACGACTTTAGATCGTGTAAATATCGTAATTCGCATAGTCTATGTATTCAGGTGTACAATGTAACACGCAAAGAATATGGTACAATATTATTTCGAGTCACGTATAATTTCATTCACCGGGGGTTACATTTGTTGAGAATTCACTAAGTTTCCTATACGTGCGTGTAGATCATTAGAAACACAATTTATTATCGATGTACAACATTACCGTAGATAAAACCGGTGTATACGAGTACGTTGTTGTAAGCTTATCCGGTGAAACTGCAGCGAACGGATTTGGAGTGTATCTTACTCGACGTGAAGGAAATCGAAATTGTGTGGTCCTTATAGGAACGGATTTACTCAAGTCCCAGTTCGGCAGCGTACAACTCACAGTATTATCACATTATAAAACACTTAAAAAATTACCAAATGTAACGTATGCAAACGTGTTAAACCATCAAAGTGATTCCATATTACGACGTGCGTAAAAAGTTAAAAGTCACTCCTGACTATTCTCTCAAGTACTGCATGAGTGCAAAAACGTTTTATTGCGTACGCGTGTGCATTGTGTATATTCGTACACGTGTT